CCAGGCTGTGTGTCAGCAGTGGAAGAGACAACTCAGGAGAAACATGGACAAAGCTGCACAGCTAAAATCCCCACACAGGAGCAGCTGCAGTGAACACAGGGAGGGACAGAACCTGTCACTTTAACGTGGTTCCTCAGTGTGCAGGAAGCTCTGGATGGTGTTCTATGCTCTGGATATCCGTGGCTCGAGGGTGAGGCAGCTAAGGCTGTGTGTCAGCAGTGGAAGAGACAACTCAGGAGAAACATGGACAAAGCTGCACAGCTAAAATCCCCACACAGGAGCAGCTGCAGTGAACACAGGGAGGGACAGAACCTGTCACTTTAACGTGGTTCCTCAGTGTGCAGGAAGCTCTGGATGGTGTTCTATGCTCTGGATATCCGTGGCTCGAGGGTGAGGCAGCTAAAGAGGATCACTCCTGGTGGTAACAGATCTCCTCCTCTTTGGCAGCTCCTCTCCTGAAGACATTCAGCTTCCTGGGCTTTGAGATCGTGCGGCCTGGTCACCCCGTGGTCCCGGCACGGCCAGACGTGATGTTCATGGTGTACCCCCTGGATCAGAACTCTTCCTCCGACGAAGAATAGCTGCAGGGGGGACTCAGCGGGACCCCGACATGCTGTGGAGGGGAGAGAGGGTTCCGCCTCCTTTCTTGAGGAAAGGCAAACCAAGCTTCTGTCGGACTGCAAGCGCATTTCTCATTGTTAGATTGGGCTGTGTACCCCCAGAGTTGACTCTCATTGCAGCGCGTTGCCTAGAGAACTATCTCTCACCCTTGTAACCATCACTAGGAGAAGGAAGATGTGGATGAACTGGCGTAGGAGCTCTTCCCATGCAGGGAGCTCTGGGGGTGCTGCTGCCTCGGGAACCCCTCGGTGCCTCCTGGCTGAGCAGACAGCCTGGTGTGGTGTGGGGCACGCGGAGACGCTCGACTTGATCATTTAACATTGCATTAAACCCCCCCGTGCGTCTCCACTCTGATGCTGGTTTAACTGGTCTAACCTTTTTTTTTTTCTTCTTTTTTTCCCCTTTTTCTTTTCTTTTGGAAACTTCCTGCTCTTTCAGCTTTTGTTTTACGCAGTCTTAACCCTGTTCCATGTACCCGCTGCACTATCATGGCGTTCAATAAAAGGGGCATTCAGATGAACTTCACACACCTGGGGGTGCTTCTTTGAGAGGAACAGTCTCCTGACCTGCACTGGGATGGTCCAAAGAGCCAAGAAAAGCTTCTGCCTTTATCCTCTGTGCCAGGACAGGTACAGAGCAGGCCCAGACCCTCAACTCTGCTCCTCCCCTCCTCCTCACCTTGCCAAATTGCAGAGCTCAAGGCTTCACTAGTGGCTGTATCCAAACAAAGGTTTGTGTGTGGGGCAGATGATGGGATGCTCTCACCATCCAAGGACTTTCCCAAGACGGTGCTGGGCTCATGTCCCAGCCCTGTCCTGTCTAATGCTGGAGGAGGTTTGTGCCCGGTCCCTGTGCAGTGTTGGCTGCAGCACCCCCAGGGGCTGTGAGTGCTGAGGCAGAGTGGAGGGGCTGGATCCAGGGCACAGCCTCAGACTGATGAGTGGGGCAGCACAGCTGCTTGAGGCCTCTCAGCAGCCCCAGAAATGGAGGAACCCTCCTATCCCACCCCCAAAAATCACTGGCCACAGCTGTTGGGGATAAAGGCCCAGCCTTGGGGGGAGAGCAGGAAGAAAAAGCCACCCTCACAGGTTTGTGATTGTCTCTTAAAAAGATTTATTCTCTCTCCTTGCCCAAATGTACAAAGGCA